CTCAGTAATAGTTTTAATCATATTTAATGAAAAGAGGCATTTAAATAAAAAAAAGAAATAATAATTAACTYTTCATGAGATGTTTGGTATAATATGTGAAATGCCAAAATGTATGGTTATTGAAATAATTTTTAATTGAGGAAAATCAATAAACAAAAACATAGTATCGTTAATAAAATAAATATATTTTTTGTTCAAGAAATATTGCCGATGGGATTGGGATTGTCTGTTGCAAAATTACAATAAATCTATAAATGTTATTATAAATTTTTTTTATAAATAGTTGCCATTGGTTACAATTTTTTATTATTACTTTGCATCATGCCGTTTGCCATTACGATATATGAGATATACCATATACCTACACGGTACTGATAYACATATATAGACAGGAAGACAAGTATTGAAGAATATAGTGAGTARGAATTTGTGCTTAAACTTATTAACTTAAGTAATATACCTAAATCGAATAAAAAATAACAATGAATTAATAATACCTAAAGTTTTAACCTAAAAATTAGTTATRAAATGTAATATTATAGTTAATAGTTATATCAAATGTTGGTATATAAATGTGATATAAATAACTAATAGTTAAATCTATGAGTATAATGGTTAAAGTTTCTACATAGTGGCCTCTCGTAAGTGAAGCAGACCCACATAACTAACATCCTGSCTATGCCACAAAATTACTTATATTTAAATAAAAAAAAATGTTTWAAGTGTAACCTTACTAAACAAATAAACGCAGATAAATGCAATTTTTGCTGAATATTCATATAAGCCATTTATATTGTGTTATTGTTCTGTGTTTATTTACAAGATTATTCTTAATTTTTCCAATATTTAACAAAATAGTTTATACATTTTTATGAATATTGCCAAAATTTAAACCTTATATTCTCGTACAATAAAATCATGTCTATGTATCTTTTTAATATTTTAGAATTGCTATTATACCTAATAACAATCATGAGGGCCTCCGTATTTAATTTTCTAACTTTTTGATATGATCAAAAAAATTTCTAAYGACAATAATTAAACAAGACTAAAGAAATTGATAAATTTCTTATTGGTACCTATAAATAGCTAAAAAAAAAATCGATGTAATTAGAAAATGTTATGGTGCCTAGAAAATTCTTCAAACGTTCCGTGAAAAGTTATATTTTTTTTTTTAGTTACATCGAACAACAAGAAGAATTTCGTAAAAGGCTGGTTTTATCCGACCACTGAACTCAAAATACTATTAAATATTTATCAAATTCATAATAATATATTAAATGTAATACTCCCATTCATGATATAAATGATTTATAGGGATCCTAAATTTATTTCTTAAAAATATGGGACATTTTAAATCATACCCTTATTACTTTTAATTTGCATTGGTGTTAATTTGGGGAGGGGATAAGAGAACATACTATGTTAGGAATTAACAATATTTGTGTAAGGAGACACCGGGACCAGTGACGTGCGTGGACAAGTCTTGGGGGGGG